ATATCCTGGGATATAGACGGACATTTGGTAGGATATCCATATTGGATATATTGAATATCCACAAAATATATTCTGTGATTTCTTGTATTTTCTGGAAGATACCCATTAGATATTTTGCTGAATATCCATTAGGATATCTTCTATATCCTGGATATAAACGGACATTTGGATATCCATATTAGATCCACCGAATATTTCTGATATCCTGTGGATATATTGGATATCCACAAAAGATATTCTGCGGATATCTCTGGGATTTGGTGTGTTGTATGGGATATGGGAGTTAGATAAGTCAGTATTTAATAAAATACGTAACAAGAAAAGATGGAACTCCTCTACTATACCTAGAAATATATTTGTATCCAACTTAAACCGAAAACTTAAAAAATATGACAATCACGAGATCCAGAGCCAGTCGCAATAGACGTATTTTCGCCATATTTTGAGAGAATATATATACAAACCTATGCATTTCCTCCTTTTCCAATAGTCTTAAGTACTAAGAAAAATTATCATTAATAAGTCTTCAGGAATAATGATTGTCTCTTACTGACCAACATAACCCTGGTTTCTAACGGTAACCTCTTTTGAGGTAATCGCACACCCACATATCGGCGACCGATTGGAGAAACTATCCAACAAGGATTTAGTCTAAAAAATATACTCGAGGTAGGCCTAGGTGATACAATGCTAAACTCACTATCAAAAAATATTTTACAATACAGTTGCCCCCCTTAGGGCCTGGCGGTCTGACCTGGTGGAATTATTCTTGCAGAAAATAAGTAAAATAAATTTTGTACAAAACGCAGCTGGCTATACGAACAAGCTTTCGTTAGTGTAGTTAGTAATATATTTTACTAATACCTAAATAAGCTAACATATTGGAGCTGATATAAATGTAAAATGCTCCACAAAAAGGTATGTCTAAGTTAAGGCCTACAAAATCACGTTATAATTTTTCTTGAAAGGTGCTGGATTATTTGAATAATTTACCAGAACAGTTGTCACTGGAACAGTTAGTCCAAAAGACCACAACCTTAATTTCCCTGATAATAACTGGCTATGCAAACAAACTAATAAAATACAAAATATCGTAATCACAGGTTTGATCCAAATATTAATTCCAGTGCTCATAAAAACATCAAAACAGAAATATTCTAAAACTTGTAAGGTTTGTTGGAGTTGGTAATAGAGAGATCGGGCAAGCACCAATAAGGTCCTTACGCTAATTACCAACTACGTTATTTTCGAAATACCGAATGCACGCAAACGTGATTTTGTAGAGAGTTCGGGCAGACTAAATTTATTTTAGGTTTAACGTTATATTTTCGGGTATTTTCGATTTGACCATTGTTTTGAGAACATTGACTTGACACTTTTTTTTCTTTGTTTCTATCATTTCATTTTGATTTGTTTAGATCGTGGCAATCGTAGTTTAGATTTATATATTTGTGTGGATTATTTTTTTTAGAATTAGCAATATTGGCAAAGGCGGATGATGATATAGAGTTCATTATACTAAATATTATTTTGGAAAATGATAAAGAACCGCATGGTTTAAATAAACTTAAATAAAATAATAAATTCCCATAAAACACTCCTAACAATGATTCAGCAATATTCTGCCTCTTCCCAATGTACTTTAAAAAACTACAATTACAAAAAAATGTTTAAAATGTCACTATATAACATTTTAAAACTACTACGAACACAATAGACGCCAAAACAAACAAATTCAAGCCAAACAGAAACAAGAAACCGGGAAATCGTTTCAAAAGACAAATGACAAGCGGCATATCACTATGGATGATATTAAATTCGGATACATTCGGCTTCCCTTATTAGGCATTCCAAACAAATGAATTACCAGTGGGCAGGTTTGGTATATCTAAGGGTAGCGACATATGGTGTATTCTATCTACTTTACGTAAAATCATGAATAATGGATTACATTTAAATATTTTATGTCAAACACAATAAAAATAATATTTAAAAAACCCACCTATACATTTCTTCATAAATTGGAAGGCTTGGCGACTACTACTTTGAATCAAAATAGCGTCCAAGTTGCAAAACTATGTCGCTACCCCCTTCGATATACAAGAATTTCCCACTGGCACCTATTGTTTGACAGGTCGTTGGAATGCCTAATATTTCATAAATCCCTTTCGCAAACTTACGGAATTAACGTTTTGCGACAACGGTAATAGGGTAATTCCAAAGAAGTAGAGAGGGTAGAACGATAAGGTACCGTCTGCGCATCCATCACGAGTGTAGAAATTATGCGTGATTCAGCCTTCCACTCTTACACACGTAAATGACAAGGAGAGGTTGCCCTAAAGCACTGTAAACAAATTCCAGGATCGACTTTATTCAGCGATTATGTTCATGTTCAGCTCTGTTTTTTGTTTGTGTTTTGGCTGTTGTAAGCTTTTTTGGCGTCAATTCTTTGTTATCTTGCTTATATTTATGATTTTTTATGCTTTTATTCCGATTTAGTATTAAATTATACTTGTTAATTATTTTTCGATGCACTATTTTATAATTGTTGCACAAAATGTTGTTAAACCGTCCCTGAATTTTGTTTACAAAATGTGCAAAACGAAATTGTGCATAGTGTCCAGACTTTTTCATTGACAGTTATCATTCTAGCCCTCTCCACTTCATTGGGTAATTCTGTAAATATTTTGATATGCGCTTGCGTAGATGTCAAATAATTCCGTACGCAATTAGCGTATCACGGTATTGGTGCTTGCCCGATCTCTCTAATATCTCGTAGAAAATCCTCTAGGATCTGCATCGCTACTACTCCGCTAGAGCATCGTACATAAACGGTAGAGTATATTAATTAATGAATAGCTGAAATCAGGAAAACGAGGAATTTTTATTAATTGCCAGTTTACCACCATACTAAAAGTGGGAACTTAAACCATACATCAAATTGTTTTAAGAAAGATAAACCAGCGACGCAGGTATATATAAATAGGTACTGCTAGATTTTCTGCTTTATTCCAGGAGACATTATGTGGAAAGCTTTTATAAATTTTTACAACAGGCCTCTGGAAGAATCCAGATTTGCAGAAGCAATAATTAGGTATTAATTGTTTTACATTCTCATCATAGAATCTTAAAAAAGATACTTTTTCTGTTTACATAGTAGGTTAGATTATTTATAAAATGTTTGCTTGTTTTTACCATAGGCTTAAAAACAATAGCTTTTGTTTTTCTAGGAAATATCAAAGAAGATACTGTATAACCTTGATACATTTCCTAAGCCTGAAACAATGTAACTTTAAACAGCCTACTAAGTTATTATAAAGCAGTAATCTATTCGGACGAAGCGCCGAATATAATTACCCGATCAAACGAACTTGTGAAGTTCGATCGTAATTATATGAGGCGCTTCGTCCGAATAGATTACTTCCCATCCCATTTTTACCCAACCCATTTGTATTTGTTTCAGGTAGGTATAAATCCAAATCGAAAAACAAATTTTGAATTTGCTTTAAACTTTATGACGTGTGAAAGGGATCGATAAAGTAGGTAAGTTTTTTTGTCTTTGAACGTTGTGCCATCTAGCACCGAAAACCGGTACTACTAAGTTATTATAAAGTAATCTATTCGGACGAAGCGCCTCATATAATTACGATCGAACTTCACAAGTTCGCTTGATCCGGTAATTATACAATTTACCAGTTACACCACCTTATATGTTCTTTCGTTCGTCCCACTGGTGTAGGAAACCATTCGTTTGACCCGGTGTAAAACCCACTATACCTTCCGGTCGGCGATGTGGCGTCTACAGGGGGGCTATTTTCAAACTCGAGAGAATTCCAATGAACTGGAGTGGGGTAGAATGCTTGTCAATAGACTTGAGATGCGACTCTATGGGCGAAGACAGGTTATTTTTCATCTCACTCGTGAGTATTTATAACCACCATTTTCTATTTCACTTTGTTATTGTCTGATCCACCAGCTTGTGGATTGAACAATAACAATGTGAAACAGAAAATGGTTATTATAAATACTCCCGAGTGAGATGATAAATAAAAATGGCTGCGCCCATAGAGTCGCATCTCAAGTCTATTGACAAGCATTCTACCCCACTCCAGTTCATTGGAGAATTCATTTCCATCAAGAGAAATGTCATACGTCAACGTAAAACCGTATCTTTAGGGCTCTTAGGGCCAGTGTGAACTCACTGACTGTTTCTCTCGTTTTATTTAGAGATAATTAAAATTCTCCTAAGAATTTTAATCCTCGATATCTTTAAATACAGCGTTTCCACATTGACGTATGACATTTCTGATGAGAATCTTGAGAGAAATGAGTGCTCACATACTTTGAAAATAGGTCCCCAAGGGGGCTATTTTTAAAGTATGGGAGCACTCATTTCTCTCAAGATTCTCATCAGAAATGTCATACGTCAATGTGGAAATGTTGTTTTTAAAGGCAACGAGGATTAAAATTCTTAGAAAGATTTTAATTCTCTCTAAATAAACCGAGAGAAACAGTCAGTGAGTTCACACTGGCCCTTAAGAGTCCTAAAAATACGGTTTTACGTTGACGGATGACATTTCTCTTGAGAGAAATGAATTCTCTCGAGTTTGAAAATAGCCCCCCAGTGTCAGTGAATATTATTTTTGAAGTCACAGTTTATTGCTAAAGAATCAGTTAGCTCACTCGGACCAGTTGAAAGTTCCAAAATAACATCCACTCCAGGGATACAAATTCAGGATACGCAGAAGACTGCTGTTTTATTATAGGCGGTTGTCATATATTGTATTATCCGAGTTGCACAGTGTATAAACTGAAATATTGAGATCCAAAGTGCCGACGCAGAGTAAGCGATCTGATTCTTTAGCTGTAAACTGTGTCACAGGGTTCAAAATGGCAGCGCCCTATGTTGGGCGTGTCGGACCTCTCTCTTGCCTCGTATAGTAATCAAAGTATGTGGGTTCTACGGAGACGTCACAAAAAAATAGACATTTGGCAACAGTCCAAAAGACCGTTTCAAATTTCAAAAAATGCAAGTCAAATGTCAAAATCTTTTAGGTTAGTAGATGCATTCAGATGCATTGAATGAATTTAACGAATTTATTTAAAAAAATGTTTTCTAGTGTTCGGCAACTCACAGATTTATCTAAATTACCCAAACAAGAGGTAAAAAAGATTCTAGAAGAAATAGATGTAGTTTTGACGGATTGCGATGGGGTTTTGTGGTTGGACAATGAGCCCATTAAGGGATCTGTTGAAGTCATCAATAAATTCATAGAAATGGGAAAAAAAGTTATTTTCGTGACAAACAATTCGACGAAAGTCCGAGATGAATTTGCTACGAAATCTAAAAGGCTAGGTTTTAATGTAGGAAAAGAGGATATTATGTCAACATCATATTTAGCTGTATCATATTTAAAAAATCAAGGATTTGACAAAAAAGTGTATGTAATTGGATCCAAAGGAGTTACACAAGAATTGGAACAGGCAGGAATAAAGCATCTAGGAGTTGGAGTAAGTATTAAAAAAATAATTTTTTAAATTTTAATATTCTTTTTAATTTATACTTGATAAATATGTGACTCTTTAATTTCAGCCAGATGTATTTGAAGGTACTCTAGCACAAGCTGTAATTGATTTCAAACCAGATCCAGATGTAGGAGCTGTAATTGTAGGTTTTGATGAACATTTTTCTTATCATAAACTTCTAAAAGCTGCTACATATTTGAATAAACCAGGTTGCATTTTTATTGGAACAAATACAGATGAACGATTTCCCATGGATTCAAATTTAGTAGTACCTGGCACTGGTGCTATAGTGAGATGTGTCGAGACTGTAGCCCAACGTGATGCACTTGTTGTGGGCAAACCTAATCCGTATATTGCTGATGCAATAATGGCTGAATATGGAATTGATCCAAAAAGGACAATAATGATTGGTGACAGGTAAAACCGTTTTAGACCATTAATGTAAATATTTAACATAAACATATTTTTTAGGTGTAATACTGATATCTTGTTAGGTACAAGATGTGGTTTTCAAACCTTGTTGGTTTTGTCAGGAGTAACAACTTTAAAAGAAGTTACAGAATGGCAAAAATCTTCTAAAAAAGATGAACAAGAACTAGTACCTGATTATTACATAGATAAATTAGGAGATGTACTGAATTTTATGACCTAATTTTAAATAATTTTTAGTCCAATTCAGCTAGTTAAATAAAATTTTAACTGTTAGTCCATTTTTAAATTAATGTAATAAATGTATTTTTATTAAATTTTTACAATCCATTTTGTGTAGATAAATTTTAACCCAAAAGAACTATAATTAGTAGAAAGGGAAAATACAGCATTATTCTGCCCCTTATTTTTGAATAAATCTATATAAATAGATTTAATTCAAAATTTGGAATATTGATAGAGCATTTGACTCAAATGCTGTTTTGTATCAACACCATGATTGGAATTTCCTGTCATTCTATTTAATGTGGATATTTTTTAGTTAATGCTTCAAAATGCTAACTGGTTACGCATAAATGAATGTCTGAATAACCAACATTATTTTGATGAAATAATCAAGTTAGTATCTAAATAAATGTACCAAAGATGTAATATTTATTGTACAATTTGAATATATAAAAATACAAGAAATTTATTATCAAGAATATCACATTATTGTATTGCATACAAAACAAGGCACATCTTACAAATTGTCAACTTTTATGTACAAATAAATCTCTTAAAATTTCTACAAGCTACCAAACTACAAGTGATTTTCAGCTATTATACATTCCTTCTATGAGAAAATCCATCCTTCTATAATTTCTATGCTGCCACCAATCTTTACCACGTTTATACAGAACGGAAATAATGATCGCAACAAGAGGTACTGATAAAATAACAGCTACTATTGGCACAATGTAGTCAGCTCTTCTTACTTTCTTATCCATACTTGTGTCTATATGTAAATTATTAGAATTGTAATTGTCATTTTTTGCTGCTGAAAGTTCTACTTCATCATGTTCAGTTATTTCAGGTTTTCTGGGCTTAGAAGTTGTTACTTTTACATTAGCTGCTTTTTGAGTATTTGAAATAATTTTAGTTCCAGTACTAGCTGCTACAGTGGTCTTAGAAAAAACAGGTGCAGTTGAATTTGGGGGCGCAGTCACATTATTTAAAGGCGTTACCTCCTGCACAGTTTTATTTTGTTTTAAAATAGTTATTGGCTTTTCCACTTTTATATTAATAGTACTCAAACCTTCCCTTCCAGTATGAGTCGTATCGTGAATTGTAGTTTTATTATTGTTTGCAAGTGATGTAGTTTTGGTTTCAACAGTAACATTAACTAATTTTAATGAGGTGTCATTTGTTGCAATAGATTCAACTGCAATGGCAAAAATAAACAGTACTGATAATAATTGATAGCTAAGCGCGTTAGCTATTTGTGCCATTTCATTACATTTAATTTGGATGAGATTAATAGCAGAACTATTTTGTTTGAATTTTAAATTACATTCATGTTTTATTCAACATATGGATTAAAGTCACAAACATCAGAACACATGACTACTGTCATGTCGTGGTCATGTCACATATTAGTGCTGTCTCCTGTCAGTCATGTCTCTTCTCTTTTCGTTTTTTTTTAATTGATCTTTAATCCGTCATGTAATCTGGTACCTGACCAATTTCTGACTATAGTAGCAGTAGTAGCACATCTAAAAATGAATTTAAAAACTTAGCAGAAAAAGTGTGGTTGTGGGATTGTAGAGTAGTTAAATTTTGAAAATAAAAAGTAAATAATGCTCAGTTATCTCATTATTTGGTTTATTTTAAAAGATATCGTAGTTCATATCAAAGAAAAAAAAATATCACTAAATTATGAACTCAAAATAAGCTAAGTAAGTATGTTTATATTACTTTTGTTTGCAAGATATATACTTACAGTTATTTTAGAATAACTGTTTTAACTTTCTCTTGTTCTAAATTTACAGTTTCGCAAAGGTTTCAGTGCTATTTTGAAAATTGCAAATATAGTTACTTATTATTATTGTAAATTGTAAGTATTTTTTAAAAAACAGTTCTTTTGATAAATCCATTATTACGTGGATTACATACTATTTTATAATTTAATATAATAATACTTATTAAAATTAGAATAAACAAATTGACTATAGATTTCTTGTGGAAATGAGTATTAACAAATAGGGTGGTGGGTGAACAAATAAGGGAGTGGTAATGGGTGGGTAAAACAATGTTAATAGCTACATAATCTAACAAAAATACAAGTAGGTATGGACATTTCAAAATGTGAAACATGAATCATAAATTGAATTAGTGATGGGATAATTCAAATGAAAAATAATCATTTGATTATTACATTTTTTTGAGATATCTTGAGAACTTGAACTGGATCATTCGAATGATCATATCATTCAAATACACTACCGAGTGAAATGTAATTTTAAATGATCAGATCATTCAAATACACTACTGAATGAAACTGAATTTCGAATGACTATTCAAATATAACTAACGAGTGCCAAGTGAAATGGAATGAGAAGTAATAAAAATAAAATAATTCATATGAATTTGCTTCTTCTTTAAAGTGATTTGAGTGTGTCAAACACACAACTATTAAACATATTGGGTGCATACATTTTAAATGTTGATTTAGGTAGTTAGGCAGGTATTTGCTCAGTGTGAAGTCAAGGTAGGGGAAGCAAAAGCGATACTTGTGCTAACTGTGGATAATTTGTGCATTTTATATTTTGTAATTTTGGCATATCAAATATATGTATATATTTTACTTCTTTAAAAAAAAAATAGTTAAAAGCAATGCAATGAGCAACTGGAGTTGCTGTGTTGTAAATTGTAAAAATGCTATAAAAAAACTAAATTTTATAAATTTTCAATAGCAAAATAAATATTAAATCAATGAAATAAACGTACCTATAATTATTGCAGTAAGAAGGGAAAAGTAATTACAAACCATTATTTTTGCAACTAGAGTATCTAATACCTATTGAAAATAGTAGACATCAGAAAACTGAAAGGTTTTATATACTTAAATACTTATTATTTTACCATGTTCTTCAAAATTCCTTAAGTATGTTCAGAAAGGACTCATTGGAAAACAGTTATTTAATAATTAATTCTATGTTATCTATCAAACTAAAAATGAAGAAAACAAGCATAAATTACATTCGAAAATATTACAATATTACAACTGTTTTATTGAGAATAAATTTTGAATCCACGTTTGACATTAACCTTTAACTTCATTAGGCAACTTTTCATTCTCGTAAATACGGTTGCCTAATTACCTATTCTGGGCACATGTTTTAATATTTTTTTTAATAAATATATTTATTTATTTGTGATTGTACTAGTCTTTTGGATATTTTACATCACCATGTATTATCAATAAAAATCAAGTAGATTATACGAAAGTTATTTATTGAATCCTTTATTCTTCGGTCACTTATTTCAAGGAACCTACACAATTGATAAGTCATCGAAATAAGTGTCGAATCAACACATTTTAAAATATAATATAAAATAATAAAATACATTCCTTAACCTAATTATATCCAAGTTCAAGGAACTATAATAACTACAAAAATTTTATACAGTATGATAAATATATATAAGTACTTATATTAATACATATTGTTTAGCTAAAGTAATAAAAAATGTATAATAATAATAAATGAATCTTTTCACTCGTTCTATAAATCAATATACTTTTATTAAAACAAAAAAATACTTTTTTTAATTACGAATTCTATTAAAAATGAATACTGTCAATTTACACAAAATCGCCCTTTAGTACATATTTTAGTTGGCGCTGCCATCACACACGGAGCGAATAGGTAGGTATTACCAGACTTGTTTTTACACTGTTTTCTATTTTATTAAAAAGTTTTTAGGCAATTGATTTTTTGGGCTTCGACCTCATTTTTTTTTTAACGACCACCAACCAAAAACGAAGGTATGGAACATAAGTTCATTTGTTCGTTATACTGATATTGATAGAAATTGGTATAAAAATCTCTAGATCTCCTAGTATTCGAGTAATAGATCTTTCAAATGATAATCCAATTATTGAAATCACTTGAATACTCATCACTCGATTATAATATTAATTAGTTTATTCCCTTCACTAAATTGAATAAGGTCTAGGAACATGCACATATCAGACAGATACCATTGTCAGTGAGCAACGACTCGGTCTTCATCTCTGGTCAACCCACAACAATTCTATACAGGTCATGAGCTCCTTTCACTTTGTTGCATGTTGTACATACTTTGTTCAATTCACTGTAATGGGATATACCTCCTGTTTTGAAATTTACGTATCTGTATATATCTACTTTTTTATACACTAAGAAAAAAATAAATTTCATATTTGTATGGCCTTTGATTCCTTGACTAGAATATTTTTTTTATGTTTTTAGTACAAGGAAAATCTTTCTAAATGAATCAAAATGTTCTTACCTTGTAGAATAATAATTATAAATACATTTAAAAGCAATGAATATCTTTTAAAATTATTAAAAATGAAGTACTTAATTGTAGAGTACTTAAAAAAATATTGCATGGAAAATAAATTAATTAGGTAGTTATATGTTTAAAAATGGCTGACTTTTTGCAAAAACACTTATAAAAAAATAATTTTGTTAATATTAATTTTTGCTACATATGGAACTTGGCTTTTTTTGGTAGGGTTTAGTTACTTTACTTTTTCAGTAAAAATTATTACAATCTATTAGAGTATCTATAAGGGAACAATAGAAAAAAACTTCAAACTGATTGGTGCTCCCTTGGGTCCTCCTCTATAGCTGACAGATATCAGGACTCAATCACTACCTTGACACATTATTTTCTGAAAAGGCCATTCCTAGAATTAACAGTCAAAAAGAAGAAAAAACATTAATATTTTATACAATAAATGTAAAAAAATGACATCCTAAGAAATATAGACAAACAAATCGATTTACCATTAAATCTATTTACCATTAAATCTATTTACCATTAAATCTATATATTCATAATTAAATATTAATTAACAGATCCTTGTGAGGCTTACTAGATTTATTTGCATAACATAAAGTAATATAATGATATTCTTGTTTTTTTTTTTTATACAAATGCTAAAGAAGGCAGCAAAGCACCTAGGAAATTTTGAGTTGAAATCTATGCCATATTTTTAGGATATTTTTATACTCCTTTTTTTACGAAAAATCAAGGTGCTCTGCTAGCTTCAAATGAAGCCAGCAAAGCACCTTCGTTTTTAATTTTTTTTTCTAAAAACAACCACAACATATATTTAGACTATTTTTAGGCTCTTGAAATGTTATAAAACAGTTTGAAAAATTGGTATTTTTAAAAATTGCGGGGTGGGGGTGTTTTTTTAGCTTCAAATGAAGCCAGCGGAGCATCTCTGATTTTAAATCATTATCCAGAAACAACCAAACCATATTTTTAGGCTATTTTTAGCTCATTGACAATATTATAAAACTTTTTTTAAAAAATTGCTAGAATGCAGCCCAGAGCACCTCGTTTTTTAAGTTTTTTTTTTCCTAAAAACAACTATGCTACATTTTATTAAAAAACTTTTTGAAAAAATTTGCTATTATTAAAAAAATACGGCGTGCTTTGTTAGCTTCGAACGAATCTAGCTGAGCACGTCACAATTTTAGGCTCTTGAAATATGAAACATTCCTAAAAAAAACTAAAAAAAGGGTCGATATTAAATGAACTTTAAAATAGACCAAAATAGCTTTAAAAAGAAATTAATAAACATTATAAAACTGTTAAACTTTATGAAAGTTTATGAATTTATGAAAAATTATCAAATGCTTACGAAGTTAAAGAAATTAAAAGTAGAAATCCGAAAATTAGAATAGTTGGAATGATTGAGAAGCATGAACCTGACGAACTTATTTCATTACTTAAGTACCAAAATGATGTCATCCAATCATCCAGAGTATGCAGCGTTGTGAAAATTTGGGCTACCAAGAAAAATGATAAGATGTATCAAGCAACTCTAGAAATTGATGCCGAAACTTATGTGAAAGCAGTGTCTCTTCAATGTCTTTTTGTTGGCTACGATGTATGTTCAGTGTTTGATGCTATAGATATCACATTATGTTACAAGTGCAGCGGTTTCGGTCATAACCAAGGGTCGTGTTTAAAAAATATTGCTTGTCCTAAATGTTCTCGACCACATCAAATTAAAGATTGTCCCATTGATTCTGAAATAAAATGTATTAACTGTATTAACGCTAAAACTTCTGATGTTAAACATTTTGCTTGGGATCACTCAAAGTGCCCTGTTTATCAGAAAAAACTTGAATATTATAAGAACTCTTTAATGTCATCGTAGCAATCATCAAGCATTTCTGATACTAGCCAACATAAACTTAGTGTATTTTACCAGAATGTTAGAGGATTAAACACAAACTGTTTAACAATTCCGTCGAATGTAACCACGACCTATTAGCACTGTCAGAAACTTGGTTGAGTTCTTC